TTTCGAAGGAGCATAACACATTTATGCACTCCGACGCAAAGTGGCGTTGAAAAGATTTCATGCTAAACCTGAAGGGAGCATTAAGGTTTTCCAGCGACCTGCACGGCATGCAGCGGCATGCAACGGCATGGAAATAAGCGGAGCTAGAAACTTAGGTTTCTTTAATAGTGTTGCGAATGATTTTGAAGTGATGAATGGAACGTATGTTTATGAGAAAAATAATATCGTTTGAACGCTTTCATTTTTTTCACATGTCGCACATGATGGCACTATAAAATCCGTGCTGTTGCTCTAACCATGAACGGACGCTGTGGATAGCGGTTCAAGTGCTGTCCGTGTCGTAAATTTATTTTGAAAATCGATTTCTTACTAATAATTGTATCGTTTAAATATACGTAACATAACACAAACAATTTAAGTACGTCTTTAAAAATGTGACAATAATTTAACAATGCGTTACTTTGTGCTTTGTGGTTACCTATTAAAATAGATGTGTCCTATATTAAAAGAATTTATCAACACGTGAATATCATTGAGATAATATATAATCAAAATTGTGCCATTAACTCCAAGTGGCGAACTTTGACGAAGGATCGACGGAAGTGACGTTCTCTAGTTCTGAAATTCAAGACCTACTTTGTTAGTAAGTTGTATTGTTGTGGTTTATTTATTTAAAAAAAAAATTTTTTTAAACTTTAATATTTTTTCACATGATGGCACGATATAAATTAAGAATCTAAAATTAAGCGAAATAAAAAAGGCATAATCATAGTTTGAAAAACCTGTTAATGATTTAGTACTTTACCAATAGTTCTAGAAAGAGATGAATAAATAAGCCCTAGATTCAATGCAGAAAGCACCTGTGTTCCAACTTGTATATAGTCTTTTCTTAGTTAGGTTTGAGGGGCTATATATGAAGGGGGAGTCTCAAGGGCGAGGGGATTACTAGTAGGGTGTTTTGCCAAGTTCATTAGGAAACTACTAGTGTTTATCGTTGTATTCAAAAGGGTTCTTAGATTCGAATATACTTTGGAAGGTACGCGTGGGTAAAGACTTTTTGTTCTAACAGTACGCATTAATTAACGGAAAAGCCAGGCATGTATTTGAATCTACCCCTTCATAATAACTTACTTGTTTTTTAATAATACACTTTAACGGTTTAAAACGCGATATATTTTGGTTAAACTTGTTTGTAAATTATTTTCGTGGTAACGGGGAGACGTCGGGCCGCAGTTAAAAATAATTTTCACACAAGTCTAACAAAAAATATATCGAGTTTGAAACCGTTGAAGTGTTTTATTTAAAAATAATCTTATCTTACCTGAAATTACTCCATTCGTTTCCTTTTTTTTGGTTGGTGTATTGGTATATATCATACACATATATTGCTAATAAATATTATGCGAACACCAATATCTCCCAATTAGCTGATATAATCAACGCCTCACTGCACAAATATTTTCCTAAAAACATTTGAGCATTTCCACGATACCCGGTGAATTCCGTATTATAATTCCAGGATAAATGAAAACGGGAAATGTTAATAGAAAGTCATGCCGCGGTCACTGCAGGAAATAGGGACTCCGGATTCCCTGGATAACTCACCAAGCTGGAGCACCGGTTTTAATTGCAACGGTAATTGTTCTAGCGAAAATTACTCGACAGCATAAAAAGCTTATTTACGTTTCCTCTATAATGAGGCGGCTTTAATTTCGCTAATAAAATACACTGCATCGACTGTAATTGCTGTATTTTTTACTTTTATGACTACATCGTTAAGTTGAAATGCCAATTTTTTTTTATTGGCAGATGTCGGCCGGTTTGAGGAGCTTGAATTGTAATAGTAATTAAAAGTTTTATAGTTTTTGAGTTTAGGGACACACAAAAAAGAGCTAAGTCCCATTTCCCTTGAGAACAGATTTCGAGCGAACACATTTCTGTGTTCGTATTGCTGATCGATTTTATTAAGTTACGCAACTTATTTCCCCCGAAATTCGAAACCAACACATTCCGTGTTTCACGCATTGGTAATATTTTGAACCACTGAACTATACAAGATAGCCTAGCATAGTGATGAGAACGACAGAACTTTAGTTTAAACCATAGTCAATAGATGCAGATGAAAATAATATTTAAACGATTCTGAGGTAGGTAAACTGCAAAATATATTATAGTGGTACGTAAATTTTAATTTCTCTAATTGTATTAAGCGGTTTTAAATTATTGTATACGTTTGAAAACTTATTATTCCCATGCTATTGCATATGCTAGCATGATGTATATTAAAAATCAAACCTATGTGTCAGAGCAGAGGCACTGTAGATGCCGGTTCAAGTCTCTCTCGTATCGTAAATTTTATTAATTCCGTTTTTTAGCTATCTATCTATCTATTTATACCCTTAAAGCCTTTATAATAATGCATTTCAAAGTCTCATTAAAATACCTTAGGACGTGTAACCTCAAAGCCCAACCCCCGAGCCACTGAAGCGGAATATTTTCGCTAAATCCCCTCGTACTTTCCTATTCAAATAATTTAATAACGACACCATTTCCTACATGGAATCTAAGGGAATTCAAGTACATCAGCTAGACAAGTCAAAGAAAACTTTATTCGCTTGCAACGCGAAAGACGTAACAAGACAACTAAGCTGTTATAAGGATAGAACTACCGGTTGTTGTGGTACAAGTTAGAAGCTTAAGCGACAAGGACATTTTTAACAAAACTTTTGTACAAAATAATAATTAATTTATGGAAAAGTATTAATTAATGTCTATTTTAATACATTATTTTCCGTCCTTAAGTTATTTAAAAATGTTTTAATGTCTATGAATATACTTCCCTGTACCACAATAGTTTGCCAGATTTAAACAGAAACAGTCTAAATATATTTGCGACGAAAATATCAAAAATAAGCAGGCTTTTTACAAGGAATATATTTTCTTAATTCACTTTAACGTTTAAAACGCGATATAAACGAGACCCTTCTCCGAAGTCTCCCGTGACCACGGCTGCTGCGAAGCATCCGAAACGTCGGACCATAGTAAAAAAAATTAAATAAGCTTAATTAATATACATCGCGTTTTAAACCGTTAAACCTATTTTATTTAACATGTGTACTACTCGCGTAAACTACAGACAGTATTTAATATATTTTCGTAAATCTAGTACTAATCTTACATTAGCTATTTATTCTAAGCATTATTAATACAGCTTAACAGACCTCCGTTGCAACTCTACTATCGTTCGCAACTAGAGCAGCGGTTTACGTCTCTAGGCGAACCTAAGATATTCACAGTAAGCGTTTTATCGTTCGTTCGCAGTTAGCTTACCGTATTTGACGTCGTGACTTCACGGCTAGACAACTCATAATAAATATCTGACGCTGGCCTATTCATACGACGGTAAATCGCGTTGGATTTATGTCGCAGTTGAGCGCAAGTTGAACGGAGACGGAAGATTTTCTTGTATGTTGGTGTGCATATTTGAGATTCTGTTTAAAATGTTTCCATAATAGTTCACATTCAGCGATGGACTCGTTGGCAGAAATGTGTTTAAAGATCGAAAATAAATTGAAAAAATTTTCGACTCGGGCAGGACTTGAACCGTCATCTTCAGCGTTCCGTGCTGTTGCTCTAACAATTGAGCTACCGAGTCAAAAAAATTTTTTTCTGTCATAAAAAAGAAAAATGGCTGCCATTTTGAATAAGCAAAGGTGCCTTTGTGTTTGCGGTTTTCACAAGTTATTCGAAGGCATAGGCAGACAAAAATATGTTAGTCGACCACACGAGATGGTCAGATTATATTCACACAACCGCGAACGTTTTGTTTCGTCACCACATACAGGAATGTGCTTTGAAAGCGTTTCGAGTTTAAGACAACAAAGGATTTCACGAAAAATATATTCAAGCGAATGCGGCTTGTGGTTTGTGTTTTCTATAAAAGGTCGAATGGGGTTTTTTGATCGCGCTGTTGCCGCTGCTTTGACAGTCGACTGAGAACTCAAAACATAGATTCCATTGACTAATCCCTTTAGGTACCAAATACTAAAATTTGTATTTTAGGCTAGTTATATTGTTCTTAAACTTCTTTTAACTCTCTAAAAACACGGTTTAAAACGCGATATATTTTAGTTAAACTTGTTTGAAAATAATTTTTAACTACGACCCGACGTTTCGGATGGTTTTTCTCTTGATTTTTCGGATGATTGTCTCCGAAGGCCAAGGTTAACATTTTTAAATTTTTATTTATATATTACGTTTTTAACCGTTAAACGCGTTTTATTTAAATACGTTATACTTGCGTACAACTACAAACTACAGACATTACTTGCCAGTAAATAGAATCGATCATCGAAAGGCATACATTCGCCCCATGGCCATATGAATACCAAATTTTGATCGTACTATAAAAAATGTTGTGAAGTCGAGGTTTTGTTGTCGGTCCTTGAATTTATTATTAACCAAAATAGGTCGACAACACATTCTAATGAAACACTAGGCTTTGGCATTACATTTTTCATCAAGCCTCATGCTGGTCTGTCTTTCTTTATTCTATCTTTATTTAACAGTGATGAGAAAAAATTTCCTTCCAATCATAGTTATGTATATATATTTCCGCTTTAAGTTATACATAATATAAAGACATTCACATATAAATACATACATAAACATAATTTTTAGTAAGCATTGCGTTTGAACAAAGCTTGGGGGAAGTAAAATGCCAAAAACTCCGATGGGCCGACCATTTGGAGAGAATTGGAAATGATCGTAGTGTCAATAAAGCGTATTACGAAATTCTAACTGGCCGCCGACTCGTCTGCCGGTCAAGATATCGCTGGAAGGACGCCGCGGAGAAGGACCAGCGCGAGCTCGGTGTGGCCGAATGGCGAACAGAAAATGGCGCTCTTAAGTTTCGGAGGCCAAGACTCACTTTGGGTCGCTGCGCCTGCGGTGTAAGTATTGCGTTTGAAGTTATAATCCTTCGTGTTAGAATCTGAGATATGTCAGAAGTGTTTTTTGAATACTTTATCTATCCAATGAAGTCGCCGTGTGATTTACATGGCTGCATCGGTATTGCGAATCAATTGTGGCCCAGTTCTGAGCATTTGATAGGTCAGTGCAAGGCATCAGCCGTATTTGCATAACATAATGGCTAGTCTAGATTATATCTCTGAATAGACTACTCCGATGTAGCACTTGACTGCACGAGGTAGTGCGTTCAGATCTCGAGTCGGAGAAAATGCTTGTTTAAGAATCTCGATGCGTGACCACTACGGGTATAAATTATGATAAGCAATAAGCATGATGAAATAACCCAGCCATATAACATCCAGACACGATGTGCTTCTGACCTTTTTTGGCTTTGGATATTCGGAAATCACACAGACTGAAACCCAAACGCGATTAAACTTCGCGGCTTTATCTGTGGACGGTTGTGGACTACCAGGTTTCCAGACGAAGACCAACATGTTTCCCGGGATTAAAACAATGGCTCGTTGATTATTCGCCTTATATTGCTACACCAACGAGTCCGAATGAAAGTATCAAGAATCAACTACGGAGAATACGGATCTAGTTATTACTGATTTAGTGGCAGAAGCAGTCAGAACGATCTCACACTGAATCAGCGAGGTGGGCGTCAGGTCCAAAACCCCTTCGTTTGTCTTGGAAGAAACCTTAGCTCAGTAGTGGAACTCAAACCCTTAAAAAAACACTTTATCGTGTTGTTCTAACCATTACTGTTGTAATAATATTTATTTTTGTTTATTGATTTGTCGATCTGGTAACAATGTAGGGTTTAGAAGCACAGCTCGTGGGTACGATCCCCACCTGATCAACATGTTTCTTAAAATAATTTATAATTCTTCTCAAAGATGTTAGGCTTCTTATGGAAAATCTAGTATTGTACATAGAAATTATGTCTGGGTCAGAAATCACGATCCACAAATTCATTAAGTTTTGGTTTGTGTATTTATAAATGTCCAAACAGCAAATGGATTGACAACGCATTGTTAAGGTTAGTTGGCTGGAGTTTATCACATTCCATCTTCAAGCTCGTCTATCCTCTGTCTTTAAAATAGCCAAACTACACTACTACATACATTCAGTATGCTATACTGTAAGAAGTAAATCTCCTTACCGTATCCAAAGATTTTCATTAGTGCCCTCAACCTGACCGACTTTCCTTTCAAAGGAAACCGACTTTTATCTCCTTACTGCGTATTTATTGGGGTCAGAGGGTCCTTCGATCAAAGGTGCTACATGTTTTTGTTTAATGTAAAAGTTTCGTATTCCGGTCAAGTAATATGTTATCTGGCGACCGATAATATAATCCAGTTGTCTAGTCTATAGACTAAATTTGTAGAGGTTTGTTATTTTTTATGCAGACTATAAAATGTTTAAGAAAAAGAATACAGGTTTAAAAATCGAAAATATATTGAAAAAATTTTCGACTCGGGCAGGACTTGAACCGGCATTGTCAGCGTTCCGTGCTGTGCTCTACTGATTGAGCTACCGAGTCCTACAGACAGTACTAGTAGGACAGACTTTATTTTCGAATTTTAAATTATATAGTACCTTAATATGCAAATATTACATGTAAAAAATATTAAAGTTTTCAAGAATACAGATGTGTAGGTATAAGTTTGAATCACTACGAATCGCATTCATGGCCAGTTGGTTATTTTTTCTTTAATGGCAATAAGATTTGCTAGTGTCATATTAAAGTGGTTATTTCATTTGATCAACGAGCAAGATGACGAATAATTGAATCCGAAGACATAAATAATATTGTGATCCTTTATGTATGTTTGTCATATTGTTTTCCCCATTTGCATATGTGATAACATTAAATTCAATTGGGTTTTCCATTTTAAAAGAAAGCTTAATATTGTCTGTGGTTTACGAGAGTAGTAGTTTTAAATAACACACTTAAACGGTTTCAAACGCGAAATATATTAGTTAAACTTAAGTTTTTCTTTATTAAGACTTTTCGGATGCTTTGCAGCAGCCGTGGTCACGGGGAGAGTGCTGTATTTTTCACATCGCACATGATATATAGGAAGATTGTGCGAGAGATGCGTGTGTTATGGGTTGTAGAAATTCGACGATGAAAGTGAGTTAGAGCAGCAACACACAACGCTGTGAATGTTAGTTCTAGTCCCGAAAAATGAAATTTTAGTTCAAGATAATTTCTACCAATTTCAGAGTACACCAGCCATTTGTCTGCCAATCTAAGATCTATAATCGAATCCACAAAACATAACGTGGGCGTGTCAAAAACGATAAATTCACAATCCCTCAAAATCGGTGACTATCAAGCTGTCAACGAACCATGGAATTCAATTTATCAGACACCCTTCGGAATGGTTCGAGTTACCCCTTCACTGTTCTATCATTTGGACAAATAGCTTAGATGCCCAGAGCATTAATAAAATTTCACCTTGATGCTGCTATGCTGTTCGAAGGGATCGGAAAGGAAACCAATAACTGTCGTGAGATAGAAAGGTTTCCTTTTTCCGAGCTATTTATGGAGGCGTGTCAACAGAAGGGAACAGCGCAATACATAACAAAATTAGCAAGGGAACAAAAGGAAACACTACAACTATTAAGGATAAAAACACAGTGCTTCAAATTTTAATTAAGCACTGTGAACTTTTTAAAACGCGAAATATATTGCATTAATTTTTAATTTATTTTAACTAAGCCCGACATTTCATTTTTAGGGGTTTAGAGATGTATTAAAGAAGGTTAACATTCACTTATTATGTTAACTTACTATTACATTGAGAAATTTGGACAGTATTCTTATTAAACACAACTATAAGAAGGAGGTACTTATGAGTAGCCTATCTTCTGAACCGTTAAAAGTGTTTTATTTAAATGTGGACTACACGCGTAAACAACGGACAGTACTTCATATGAGTCAAACATTCTTTAAGTAAATCTGTAATATGGTGTTCGGCTTGTAAAGTGTAATGTTTTTTGTAATGGATAAAAAATGTTAAACAGTTCGACAGTTTAAATAAAACACTTTAACGGTTTAAAACGCGATATATTAGTTGTTGTCTGTCAATGAATATGAGTTTTGTATTTTAAATAAATGTATTTTTAAACCAATAATTGATGCACTTTGTGCTTAATTATTACCAAACTATTACAATATATCAAATATGCATATCGCTTTAACTTCCGCCAGCACTACCAGAGTGTAAACATATTTAAATAAAACAATAGTCTTCTAAGATTATTTTACCCAATTGTATAATGGCCTTATGCAAATTAAGTTAAACATATTGCAACTTAACCAAGGTCAAACGATATTGTAACTAAAATGTTGTTATTTAATTTAAGAACAGGGAAAACCTTGTCAGTTTTGTTTAAACCAATTTTTTGCAATCATCTTGAAATTCAAGTGGATACCGATGAAAGCAATGATAAAATAGACGCAAGAATCATGTACCGAATACGACTTTACTTTTCCATTTTTTAGGTCGCAAATTAATTTTTACATTTTTTTTATTGCAATAAAACAAAATGGTTATATCCTTATATTCATGCCTTAGGCTTCTTTAAATTAATTAAACAGAATAAAAACTAATTACATTATTAAAATATTATCTTCATTGATATTCTATTGATAGATAATTTTTCCTCATTCCAAAATAATTTAATGTATTATAGTAGCGACAAATATTTTTCGATTAAAAAGGTGCTCAGTCGTGGTGCAGAAGATTTATATAGTGTGAAACGATAAGTCTAATTTCGACATTAAGCATTTTGTTGAACTGCTATATAGCTGTTAGCAATCTACGCGGGTGGCTTTTGCTTTTTTAGGGAACGACACTTTTATGGTTTTGTATTAGTGTTACTAATACAAACGTGTCTGTATTCATGAATCTTTGATTTTTTCTTAGTTTTCTTAGCGAAAATGATTATTTTTTCGAATTTATAAAAATATTAACTTAATACCACTTTATTAAATAAGTAAATATAATGTACTTTTAAATACTGTCCGTAGTTTAGAAACATATTTAAAAACCCTGGGTTCCAATAAGCAGCATAGCGGCAAATGCGAAGGCACCGTTAGTTAGTTCTGCATGGACCCGGCCACTTTCGCCAAATACAGACACCCTCCATCGTTAGTCTCCCCATGACCACGGCTGCTGTAAATCATCCGAAATGCCGGGCCGTAGTTAAAATAATTTTCCGAGAAGTTTAACTATTATATGTCGCGTTTTAAACCGTTAAAGTAATTTACTATTTCTTTTCTTTTTTGTTGGGATGAGAGTTAATGTATTCAGTGCCAATTGTTAATATAAATCTTATAAAAATAAAACTATCCGGTCACAAACATAACCATTCGATATTTGCAATCGCAGCGAAGAGCTGTTTTAATGAAAGGTCAATTATCGAATCGTTCCTTGAATGAACGATTCGCGAATGAATGAAAAGAGCGATAATCGTTTATCGGTCGAGTGCTCGCGAGTCGAATGCTTCGCTTAAATCGATTTGCTTCACTCCACTAAATGAACGGTGAAATTGTTGCGCTTAAGAACTATGAATACTAAGCTTGTAGTGCTAAATGAATATTATGGTCTACTGTAAATAAATTATTTATAATGATAACTAAGAAACTATATTTAAAACACAAAAGTTTATTGTATAGTGTATTTTTCTAACTTGGCATTTTAGTAAACAAACACACAATTTACATGAAATCATGATTTTTCACAAGGTTTACATTTATTTATACAACAAAGCCTCTAAGATACTGGACTATATATTACACGTATAAACTACCTCAAATTCACTTGGTAAAAACCACAAATTATATGCTATAATTAATGAAAATAAATATGAATTTACAAAAATGGACAGATTATAATTTCTTTAATTTTTACATTTGCATAAGGATGGGATGTAAGAAAAGTCAACGACAATAGAAGAAAGAAGTCCTACTCATGCCCAATCAATGAAAAGCGTTACAATCGTAGAATAAAGTGACAATAACTAAAAAAAACTTTAAAAAGGTTATCATAAAAGCAAATTTTAATATCGTGCTCGTTTAGTCTATAAGCGATACTTCTTTATGCTTGTGTCATCTGTGGTAATATCATCACTGTGATCGGCAATTGCCAAGTAAGAAAAAATACCTACCCTATAAGTAGATATGTATATATATAGGTGGTGGCAAAAATACCTGTTACAAATGTAAATTCTTAGATTTCGCTATTATTAAGATTCAAAATTATCTTATTCTCTCAGGTTAACATGGAGTCAGAAAAGATTACAAAAAACAACCAGTAGGTATTAATGATGTTTTGAACAATTTAACTTCACTTGCGTCTGAATAATTACACAGAATAGTTTTAATGAGTTAGCTGCGGAATGTGATGATAATATTACATTTCATTAATTATTCATATAAACATAATATTCGTATGCCTTTGTTCTTTTAGAGGCCGTTGCACAAACATTTTACATCAATTTGCTAACATCAAACTTGAAAATAATTATTTAGCGTACTACATATATTATCTTCCATGCAACACTGATGTTATAAATATAAGTCTGAAGAATTTGATTGAATATATTTTTCCTACTGTGAAAAATATTTACAATAAAAGTGGGGAGTAAGTGGGGATGGTACTAATTCGAAAAAAAATGGCTTTTAAAGCATATTACATTGTTTAGTTCTGTCTTTTAAACTATTATAACTACTTTGATTTTGATGTTTAATTTTTTTATTTATTTATTTTGAACCCGGGGCTTCAAATACTCACCGGACGTTTGACGAGCGTGTTTGCTGCTAGACCAAGGGTGTCTCGATTGAGTCGATTTTGATGGGACTTTCATTAAACCAAAGGAACGCTTATTTTTGGGTTGCAATACTAAAAGACAAAACTAACCGTAGAAAACTTACATATAAAACAGACTATCAAACTTAACCAAACTACTAACTGAGTTTCTCAAGCATTTTAAGATCATAAAAGTATAGGATCTACTTAATTAAAAATATTATACCCCTGGACTACATTTCTTAAGCTTAATTACCTCTCTCGGGGCTCTGCATTTAAATGTACTCTTATAATATTAAATTTGTGCTCGCTACGTTTTTTGAATGAGCAGTGTAATTACGAGTTATAACATTTTTTAACTCCATTCATAGCTGAGTAATTATACTAATTACTTTTCGAGTTAAGTCTTATTACAGCCTTTTAGGGGACGGCTGATCTACAGTTTTCAGTTAAAAAACGAGAGTATTGGAAGCTGGGATTTCAAATGAATAGCTTTGCTAACTAAATTCGCTGAAGTTTCTTGGAACTATTTTTTGGCCAGGTTTTCGTAACTGTGTGTAGACTTTCTCTTAATGCCTTCATATTGCATCAAATGCCTAGAACAGCTAGCAGGTTTGTGAATTAGCTTAAAGATGTAGATACAAATATGAAATAGAATCAAATGAAGTTATATTCCCAAAAACTTGATTACAATGTTATTTGATGTTTAAAATATATATCATATTCCGATGTAGTAAGTAAGCTTACATTAAATGTGAAATAGGTCCACCGCGCATCTTGTTTAGTAGTATTTCACTTTCCATCGAGTGACCACCATGCTTCTCTGCTCTCCTCACCTAAAAAGATCTAAAAAGTTATATTTTCAATTACAACACATGATTTAAATTACTACTTGTGTTTTGTATAGTAAGTAAGAAACTATGATTTGACATATACCTACTTATTTCGTGAAAACGGCCCGAAACCTCTAGTATTTCCATCTAAATAGATATTAATAAAATAACATCGAAAATCCCCGAGCGCCTTGCACCACAATGGGAATAAGGTCGGGATGAATATGTAATTCTTGGATATAAGGTCGGAGATGTAAGGTAAACATCTGAACGGATTTTGGGATCTGCGCCCTTCCATTGACAATGGCTATTGTGACACCGCTGTGGCCGCTATTTCAAATTAGGAAAATACTTGTAAAAATCAGCTTCTATAACTTTGCCAATGATTTATGAAGACTTGTAAAGCGATGATTTGATACAAGATGAATGAACAAGGTTCTAAAGACAAGTTTTTAGTTTCAATTGTTGACCTTAGAATTTGTAATTTGACTTTGGATTATACGTTAAACGCATACGAAAAATTTGCGAATTATTCATATACTAGAGAAACATAAGTTTTCGAGAAACCTGCTCTAAGAAAAAAAAAGGATACAATGCAATTTAAATGAGTTAAGACTATAAAATTAAAATTATTACTTCTCGCTCGTTTGACACCTGTTACTGTTTGAAAACTTTATCAATTTTTACATGTTATTGCACATGACGGCACTATATAATTTAAAAATCGAAAATAAATTGAAAAAAATTTCGACTCGGGCAGGACTTGAACCGGCATCG